TTCCCGAGTTGAAAGTTGCGGACAAGTTGCTGCGGACAAACACACACACACAGACAACCCCGTGACAATATGCGTTTTGTACTGCTGTTACCCAGCACAAAACGCATAAAAAACGAATTTGACAATCTGGTATACGTCAGCATCGATTTATCATCAAAACGAATGGACGAAAAGTAAAAGTTGCCCACGATGGAGTCAAACCTAAGAAATAGTACAATAACAGTGCTACTTCCTAATGCGCCATGTTCACCACTACAGTAATTGAAATTTTCTGATGTAACAGCAAAGAACCTTATGCGATGCGAGCTCCAACATGGACAGCACACCATACACCACTTCATCATTGTCGTCATCCAAAAATTCTTCAGCTGGCTAAACAATTCAAGCACATATTAAAGAGGTGTTTAGGAGGAATAAGTCGTTAAGCAATGGTCAAATAACCGATCCAGTAAGTTAGAAGACGAAAATCTGTGAAGAAGGATACCCGATAGACGCATCCGAATGGTGCTTGCTCCACCAGGACATCGGCCATTCCTTCAACATCCACGCCAGCTCGTAGGAAAATCTAAAAGAAAATGAGCTACCGAATTTTAGCGAAAAATCCCGCAAAGATTTCTTCGAATAAGAGTTTTTTTAAAAAATTTCCCAGAAACTTCATGAAGTGATTTCATTAAGTGTTCTGGTGGGGACTTTTTAGAATCAACCCGGACATATGGGGCTAATAGCTGAGCATGAGTACCTGCGTTAACAGATTAATAAGGCTCTCTTTGTCACTGGGAACAATTGGATATGCCTCGAAATCGAAATTCAACTGCTCCGCATCGTCCAACTCATCCTTCATCAGCTCATCCTCCGATTCATCCTGTAAAAAAAAAAAAACCAATGGATATTGTCTATGAACGAAAAAACCAACCTAAACAGCCCGTCAAACGAAACACAAACAGAAGCCAAGCTTTTGTCTTAATTCAGAGAATAAGAAATTGCGGTACAGAGGTGTATTGATTAGTCGAACAACGAACAAATAACAACGACAAAACAGCTAGCGCACAAAGCTCCACACACAGCATGCTTGCAAAAGCATACTTTTATTAGTTTTCATATAACTAGTTTTAACATAATTGAACATAACTGGTTAAAATTAAATTTACACCAACTGCCATAGTCGTCGTAATGACGAGGTCCAACCGTGATAGTGGTAAGAAATGTATACGACTTAATGGACCGAAACATTTCTTACCATTGTGATATATTTTTAATAAAAAATTTTACTACTTCTACTAATTTCTTAATTCCAGTAATTTATATTTCTTAATTTTTTTTTTATTTCACTTCTATTAATTTCTAATTTCTTGATTTCTATTTTTTTTTCTTTTTTTTTCTTATTTCTTCTACTAATTTCTAATTTCTAGTTTTTTATGCGTTTTGTGCTGTGTAACAGCAGTACAAAATGCATATTGTTACGGGGTTGTCTGTG